TACAGAGTCCTGATACTGAAGGGAAGAAAAGATGCAGAAACGAAAACATATGGGGTGTGCTGGCAAAGTCCCATTACAGTTGCATCTATAATTCTTCAAGATGCCACATCAAATCTAAAAACATAATGCTGCATTCTATAAAAGACTTCTTTCTTAATAGTTTGCCATTATTGAAAAAATCAATTCATTCAGGGTATTCAGAGGCACATAGAGAAAGGCCTGTAGGAGGTGTTGAATATTAGTCATTCAAACCTTTGGAGCAGAAAACACAATGCCATATCATAACAGGTAAAGAAAGGAAGGTATAGACTTGAATAGCCTTGAAGATATGTAAGAGCTGATAGAATGGAAGAACAAAACAAACAGGGAGGGAATTACACTGCAGATCAGCAACACTGATCTCTGAGTCTCTGCTGACATTTTCTTCTGTTTTGAAATAACCCCCATCCAACGGATTCATAAATGGTGTATAAAATCCAAATGTATGTAAGGAGTAAGAAAGTGCATCTTTGCATGCTTCAGATTAAATGAATAATTTACAAATCTTGCACTGGAGTAATGAAGGATATAGAAAACATTTGCAAAATGCTTGGTCATGCAAGCAACATACATTTAAATCTCATTTTTCCATTTACACTGCATTTATATTTCTCTACGTGCATAGAAGACAGTGTGTGTCACAGTAACAGTTTCACATACGCACACATACGCTGATAACAATTAAACACAAAGCAGCACAGAAGATAGTTATTTTCACAGACTGTCCTTGCCATAGCCATTACCTGATTCACAAAGTTAGGGGTACACAGCGTTCTTTGGCTTCAGCCTTCTGAAAATTAACTGACCTAGAAATAAATTTTTTTAAAGTATTTTCATATCCTCTCCCATTCTCTTCATCCTTTGCCTCCCTGGGGAAATATTTTTAATTACTTGGATTCACTCAAAAGGAAGAGCACAAGTTTCTCATCAGGAAAAATTCATCCTTCACTCTGCAGGGAAGCAGAACACAGCCTCAATCATTAGAATCTTGTTTACTTAGACTAAAAAAGAAATCTTCAGTGCAGTACCAAATCCTATGGATTAAGTTCTTCACAAACAGCTGGTACCATGCAGACACTGCAGGCATCATAACACATTTATGCATATATGCATCTCTTGGGTGAAACCTAATTTCTATGTGTCCATTTGTATCCGAGAAGTTTCTTGTGGACCACTAGTGACAGTCCAGGTGGCAGGACAAGACCATTAGAATCAAAACAGTTTTGCTGTGCTGCAGTCATAGCTGGGAGATTCCATCAAGCTGACAGAACAACCTCAAGAGAAGCTGCCAAGTAATATAAAGTCAAAAATATTCCAGCAGCAACAGTATTTTGGGTGACCTGCAGCAGATGTGTAGAGCAGGCAAACAGCAAGAGTTTGACTGGTTGACTTTCACTAGGCTTTTATTAAAGCATCTTCTGAAGATTGGAAATTGGGATCACTCTCAAGACTGGACAATACGAGACGCTACTGCTAGTGCAACTCCACAGACCACAATATCACAGCAACTTCAGCCTCTTATTTGGTAATCAGAGACATTGTTAAATTTAATTTATTTTTTTTCCAAAAAGATAGCAAATGATGAAAACTTAGAATTAAGGACCGGCTTTTCCTACCCTAAGCCTCAGACCCAAGCAACATAAAAATGTCAGATCTAAGCTACACTCACAATTAGGTTATGAACATAAGCAAAGTTGAATGTATTTCAGATACTACACACATGACCTATATAAAGATAAGGCCCAAATTAACACAAACAACTGTAGCTTTAAGCAAACAGATTGTGTATCTGTCCCTTCTTGATTTTACTAATGCAAACTGCATTTGTTCCAGCAGAACTTGATTGTAGAATATCTACTCTAGAGTAGCTGTGTCCATAGTGAGGCAGCTTGCAATCCAGCCAGAATTCTTTCCTAAGTCAAAGAAAGGAAAACCTGAGTCTACCCAGCTGTTTCTTAAGAGAGATTCAAGGCAACGGTGGGGAATTAATGGACATATGGACATATCCACTACATGAGAAAAACAGCAGCTTCCACCACCAAGAAAAAAGACACGAAGGTCTCATATCTCTCCTCATCTGTTTTAGCTAGCACTGCACACATGCATTTGCAAGTCACAGAAACAGGCAGTACCCCAAGGAGTAAAGACTGTAAGTACTAGAACCTGATTTTTGGAAGTTTAGGGGGACAAATGGACAACACACATGGGACATGGACATTCCACAGGAGTCACCAAACAAGCCGCTGCTGAGCAGGATTTGAACTCTGGGCCCTTGGGAGCACCAACAGGTTGTGGTCTGCTTGAGATGGGGGCACAGCAAGAAAAAAATGGGGAAAAAGAAATGTTCTTGTAAGTTACTTTATGGATATTCGCCCATGCTTTAGGAAAATTAATAATAATAAAAATCACTCCACAGAAATATGGCACATACCTCTATATCACATGAAAAGTAGCCATGGGCTTTTATTTGCATTCTGCTGATATTCAGTTGGCAGTTTTAATATATTTTTTTATTTAGTTTAGCAACTACCAGGAAAGCATTCCTAGGTTGAACAAAATAAGTTCTAAATGCACATCTTGGATTGCCCCTAAAGACTGTAGCATGCAAAAGTTTTGCATCCAGTGCTACTGAAATCTCTCTAAGTTTAAAAACATCATTCAATTTTTTTGAGAAAGAAAAAAAAAATCCCACAGACAACCAAAAACCACTCAGACCCCAATAGAAGAAATGCTATTTTAAGTCTCGTTATAAAATCCCATTGGTTCCTCTCAGATACAAGCTGAAAAGAACAGCAGAGATTTAGGCTAAGAAAAACAAAAAAAACTGCAAAAGGAACAGCTACACCCTACTACTATTGTGATATCAACTTCCTGTTAAAATAATAACGGCAATCTTCACTTTTGGTCACAAGGGCTTTTTTATTCGCAGACTGAAGTAAATGCTTATGTAGAATTTTTAGTGACTGTGAAGAAGCCATTTCCTTTTTTTATTAAAAAAAAAATCCACAGCCCAACATTCTCCTGGCAATTAAATTTTAATAAATACAATTTAAGTATCCAGTGCAAGTTAATCCTGTACCCTGCTACAGCAAGACATAGTTTTAGACTTTTATATTAACTCCCAAGCTTCTGCAATGTTTATCTGATATGAGAAATAGGGAAGCGCTGGTTTAACATAACTTAAGATTCACACTTATCTACAGTTGAAGTCTGGCATCTGATTCCTGTTCTGTCATTTCAAACATAACCCTACTACCAAGAGGTAATTTATTCTACAGTTAGATAAAGAAGAAAGGAGTCCAACAGGAATAATGGGCAGACTTTAAAACATAATGTAGTCTTGTTCAGTGCCATATTACTGACCATCTGCCACAAAGCCACATCTTGTCAAGGGAAGGAGAACATTCAATCACTTATTATACTGCTAAGGAATACTTCCACCACTAGGAAAACTCTGAGGGAAAATACTTTTCTTCCTTCTGCAGGACCAGCATACTCCAAGCCATGCTCATACAGAACAATATCAAGAACCCCTTCCCAAATACATTGTGGGAGTTGTGACATGATACAGAGAATCTAAGTATATTCACTAAGTATCATCAAGAAGTGACAGCAACACAGGTAGTCTGGAGACAAGAGAAAGGGCTTAGGAGAGAGAGGTGTCAGCAGGTATCAGCTCAAAAGCAATCCTCGCCTCTTGCTTTCAGCCCCTGGAAAGCTATGACTCACTTTTTTTCTGAAGCCACTAAGAACTGAAATCACTTAAGGCACTCACTTCAGGCATATTAGTGGGAAAACACATTCCGTTACAATGCTCTGATGGAAGAACGCTGGATTATACTGGAAACTTCTGAGAAATGAGAAAAAGGTTGAAACCAAAAAGGGAGGTGAGAAAGAAAAAAGTATAGGAAAAGGTTATGAAACAAGCTCTCAAAACACCTAGTAAAAAGAAGGCAGAGTGAACAACTTACCTTCAAATGAGGGATGCAAATGGAACACACAGGAGACTGCTGGCCTGAATTACCAGATCTATTTCAGTTGCTAAAATAAAACCTTTCTCCTGCATTCAGCAGTAAGTGCCCTCATTTGAACATCCCTTTTTTCTTCCCTGTAACCCAAGAATACTTATATCCTCCTGACCTACAACATAGCTTGTAATGACTCTTACCACCTTTAATGTATGTCTCACAGTATAACCCAGGCAATCTTACAACAGCTCATTCTTCAGTCATTTTTCATTAACAAAACAATCTGAACAGAAACACCCAGAGAATGAGTAAGACATTCACCCCGGAGGTTTTGGTAAATAGCTGGGCAGGCAGAACTCCTAATGCAGGTAAAGTTTACCCAAGCAGAACACAAAATTTTGTTACATGACAGGCCAATGTTATGAAATTAATTCCCCCGTTTGCTCAGAGCTGTTACAAAATTTGTTGCCCTTCACCTTGAACGCAAGCTGTCTTTTTAGACTTGTTCTCTTAACAAATACATCACAACAGATATTATACTACACCAAACCTTTAGTAAACTTGTTACTAAAACAAAACTCTGCATTGTATTTACTTCCTCTCATCACTCCAACAATATGATGAAAAGTCATACTGCTCAGTAACACACTGCTAGATGGCACAAGGATCATAGGTGCCAGCATGACCTAAAAATCCTATATAAAACAGCAAAAGCAGAATAGAATTTCAACCCACCCCACCTCTACAAACTGAATCCCATTAATTCAGTGTAATACAGATGACAATTTGGTTAACTTGATATTCTTAAGACACACTACAATATCCACAGACACCATTCCACTTCCTTGAGGAAGACAATACGATTAGTGATCAATGGACAGCTCTTCCCCTTCAGAATGTCCTGATATTAGCACAGGTGGGGTGTACATGTTTTACTACAGATATATTTTAAAAAGCCTCTGAAAAAAAAGAAGTGTAAGAACTTCCTCACCTCACATATCCATAGTTGTACAGTGGATAGCATGTTACTGGAGGTACATAGCCTATAAAAAATCTTAAAACACGATTTTTTTTTCTTAAAAACAGCTGCCCAAACAAACCACGTCTAGAAATCTTCACCCAGAAAAGGCACCATTGCTCAAAGGAAAGTTTGCTTGAGGGAAAGAAAAAAAAAAACCACAAAAGTGACAAGTGTGTAACATTCCACAGTTCATCTAGAACTGCTGCAGCCCACTCTAAGTTACAATGTCAGTGGCTGTTTATGCTCTAAGGAAGTACAGTAAGTACAGTACAGCCCATTCAGGTTGCTGGAATGTCACTGATCATATGCTCAATTGCATCTATTCATTAGAAAAATTCAATCCACAACAGCAGCTGCATTTACCACCACACCCCAAACGCCAAACACCATCCAGTTGCCCCAGGTGATTCCAGTGGTTTACCATCCCACAGGATAGATGCTCCGTGCTCTTGTCCCTCTACAGTGACTGCAAGTTACACTTCCAAGACCGAGTTTTATTTACTAAAGAATGGTATATTAGGAGTGCTTTTGGCTTCAAGCTTTTGCAACAAAAAAGATCTGGTCTTTAGCAGTCATGTTCTACGAGTTTCAAAACTATTTAGGCTGCACTAATTATTTTTGATTCAAACTCACTAAACAATTACTGTTGAGAAGATGACTTAAGTAAACAACAGCCAAGTTACTCCATTTGTTTCAGAAAAACGATGACTAATTATGCATGTAATTTTGTTCTTTATCTCTTTTTTTAAAAAAAGTGAGTAATTCTGGCTTCTTTCAGGTCAATTGCAAAGTCCCCATTAAGTTCAGGGGACCAGATCTCACTATAAAATCATAAACTGCACAGTGGCTGAAAAATAAATCTTTCTGAAAGAATATGGGTCATTTAAAAGGACACTGGCAACTTTCTAAACAAGTAAAAAAAAAAATCTGTTTTCACATGTAACACCTACAACGACTGTAACTGAAAGACACAAGAATTTGGTATTTAATTCATGAATTACACTGCATTTCATATACTTGTTAAGTTTACCAAGCGGTTTATAACTGATTTCCTGGCTGTGTGAGTCTTTCACAGAGCAACAGTAAAGTATTAAAATGTTATGTTTCCTTTTTATTTAATTAAACCAATTTCAACTTCATCTTAAAACTTAAGAGTCATTTAGGCAGAACAGGTTGCTACAAACCCTAATAAGCAACATCTCTTGTAAGATGTAAAATGGTTGTTGTTAAAAACTAACTATACCATATGAGTGGAGCTAGTAAGAGTAATAAGTAGAAGTATCCTTTCCCCAGCCTCTAAAATTTGTCTTCCTTCTCAATTGCCACTGCTTCCCTTCGCTCTTCCAAAAATCCTTATTGTGGCCTAATAGACAGACTGAAGAAAAATCCTGATCCTTGCATGGTGTCTACCACAACAGATTACCCACAAGGTTAGGATTACTTTTCAGTGTTCCATCTAGAACATCAAAAACCATCAGCCCAAATTCAACTTGAAAATGGAGTTCCCATAAGATCAAATCGAATGTTATAGCTATCTATTCATTCTTCACAGCTTCCTAGAACACTCACAATTAGAGCTTCTTATGACAATTGCCAACTTCAGGAGGGTTGCAGCTGTTGAACAGCTGACTTGTGTACCATGAAGCAGGATGGGGAGGTGTAAGATCTTGTACTCTGCAGACTTGCAGTAGAGGAAGTCTCGAGTAGACCATTAGCTATTCATGAACTGAAATCCTTAACCTCAAAACCTCTGCTCCTGGGATTTGAGGGCAAAGATGGGAGGTGGGCTTCAATGCCCATTTACCAACCTCACACTAGCATTGGGTTCAGAGTTATATAAAATCATCCCCAAAGAAAGTGAAGCTGCCTTCAGTTCTCCATCAAATCAGAGATCTGTTAGCTACAGGGCTACAGAAAATGTCCATGTGATAGGCATTTAAAGGCTTTGATTCACAACCAGGGACAGGGTAGCTTGGGATTAATAATTTACTAGACATCATGATCTGAAACAGTTCGGCATCTGATTCAAAACAGCTCAGGAAGGGAAAAAACTAGAGAGAGTAATCAAGTCTATCGCCCTACACCATGCCATCCCTAGGGCCAGATACCGTTCAAACCATCTCAAGAGAATCCATTCATTCACAGCCCTTCAGGACAGCCAACCTTCCTATGGCCTGGACTCACATTAGAAAACCCAGCATTTTTAGCCACAGGATTCCGGTCTCGAAATCTCTATCTGGACTCCAGCCAAATGTGATCTGCTTATGCCTAGAGCTGAACGCCAAACATGGCTAAGGGATAGGCCCAATAATGCCATCTCGAGGCAACAAGTCAACCTTGGGAGAAACGCTAAGTATGAGGATGGAAGGATCACGGCCAATGAGTAGGGGAAAAAAAGAAAACAACCAAAAATGTGCAGATAAATTTAAGGAAGTATCAAAAATCTCCACAGCAGAGTCAGAACTGGGCTCAGTGCTCTATAAGAAACAATATCATTGTATGAACACTGAAGTCAAAATAGCTAAATATATAAAAAACTTTATAGTCCATTACACCTCCTTAAATACCAAGAGATTTAACAGGTGGTCAGATATTTCTGTTTTATACATTGGCTTAACACTACTGGGCTGTAGTGTGCTCAAAGTACTTTCCAAGATTTCAGTTCAACGAGCCTGTTCTATGTGTGAACAATTTGTCCGTGTAACCTACCAAACGTGCACTTCCAATCCAGAATCCAGCTGTGCTCATTTAACCTTGGCTCATACGCACAGGGAATGTTCTCATCCTAAACAGCTAGGGAACTCTAGAGGGTAGAGTTCTAAAACACACTGTTTTCATGGTGTACTTAAGATCAGAGAAAATCCTTGGTTCCTCCACTTAAATAATTCAGTACAGCATCTTGGTTCACTGGACTAGGAAGTGTTTACTTATACTGCAGCCCTTCTCATTGGATCTGCAACCTGCTCTAGCTCTGATTACCTCACATAGCATAAACGCCTTGGAATAGAAACAGCACTAATTAGTATTTATGTAGCTCCAGGGAAATGCACCCTGTTTACGATAATGCTTGATGTTAGTTTTGTTATACAGACTGAGAACACAATGTAGGAGAGTCAAGAGACTCACACTCTGCCATGACTACATGGAGGCTAAGTTCTGAAATCCAGGAAATGCCACTGAAAGCACTCTGGTTTTAAATCTCTCCAATTTAAATCAAGGATTATAAATGGAAATGTTTCAGCTTGTCAACAACTGCCATTTAATGACATGGAAAAAAAGTTGTTCCTACAACAATCAGAATCTGAACTCAAACCAGCACTTTGTCTCTAAAAAGCAAAATTTTGAACTGTTGTTGGACAGAGGTGAAAGTCGATACCAATACTGGATGCACAAGCAAGATGAAGATAGATCAACACAAAAAGACTGTGTTCTGCACCAAGTGAATGGTCTTTGAATTAAGAAAACATTCCAGTATCAATCCCAGAATTACCAAAAAAAAAAAAAAATCACCTTTACACCCTGAGCAGGGCTACCACCTCTTAATAGAAGGAGAGAGGTGAGGAAGAACAGGTGTGTACTGAACCACTGCTGTTTGCTGAACATCCAGCCAATTCCACCTGCTTCTGGCCAACAGAAAGGGAGCTTCTTCAAATACCATATACTGTCTCTGTCATTTCTTACAGTTGCTTCTGACAATGAACAGGGCTTAGATCTGCTAGACAAAATTCCACCCTATTACTCACAGCTGTTGCAGAGAAAAATTAAGAACAAAAAAGAAGAAATAAAAAAAATAAGGCAAGTTACCCTGTCTTATATATCAACTGAAGAAATCATAAAAGAATCCTAGAGGTCACCATGACTGTCTTTAACAGGAATTAATCCCAAACTAGGCACTTCTCTCAAAAGGAAGTCCATCTACTCTGCTAGTCATACAGCAACATGACTGCCAGAGGAATTGGTGCATGTCTATGATTCTATTATTTTGACAGCCACCATCAAAATTCTTTCTTCAGTCCTGAGTGCAAACTTGTTTTGACAGCAGTGACAACCCCCTCCCCTCCAAGCTGGTACGTACCTGATCACAACCTGCATTCACCAGCTCCTGGAGCATCTGCCTGTTCACTTCAACAGCTGCTGTGGTGCTCGACTCATTAGCAAAGGGCAGCAAAGAATATCTAATTTCCCGCAGAGCTTTCTGATATGGTCCAAACTTGGGCGTTTGTCTCATCTGCTGTTGCCTTGCAGCATCCTTCCCTATTAAAATCTTAGGGTCCAGAGAAGTTTCACTGCCTGGTCCAATAGGCAGTCCCTGACCTGAAGATTTGGATGGCTGCTTTAAACCTTCTCGAATCTCTTGTAACCTTTGTCTGCTGTTTCCAGAATATGTCGTAGCAGGAAAAGTCTTTGGCCTCATTGTTAATCCAGTTTTCTCTGAGCATAAATACAGCTTTATGCTTTGTTTTTTTAAAATTATTTCAAAAAAGCGTCACTTGATATTTTCAATTTTTTGTAAACATAATCCTTTGAAGAGAAAAAGGCAAAATTCTCAAGAGATTTCTGCCAATGTCTTACTTCAGCTCAAAATCTTCACGTTTCCTACAGAAAATGAAAATCCGTGGAATCATCATTTTGCAGACCGACAGTGTCTGAAACAAAAGAAAACAAAAAGTACATGGAATTAAGTTGATAGTGTGAATGCCTCTGAAGGGACAGCATGACAATTAATCAAGTGAAAGTGAATCAGTTTAACCTCTTAATCTGTCACAGCTGGATACCCTTTAATGATTTTCACTTTATCTGTTTTCAATAACAGGATTCCAAAAGGCCTTCTCAACATAATCAATAAATAATTCATTTTTCTTTTAAGTTTAATTTTCAAAATAAATTAAAATAAAACCTTCAAAAACTACAACATTTAAGAATTTTACAGTACCCTAACTGTGGCAAGTTTCCCACCCAATTGCATAACCAAATCCCGGAGAAGCCTATGCTATTTCATAATTAGGGAAGAGTATGCTTCTGAAATGTTTTTTTCCTCACTTAATATTTTGTTTGTTTTACACTAGCTGAGCCTAGATTCAGAAGTTTATGAAGAAGATTTATAATGGAAATATTGATGACTCTAACCATAGCAACTTCTAGTATTTCAATAACAAAGCAAATAACAGAAAGACAAGATATTTTGCCTTTCCACATGAATATCTTGGCAAAGCCTGAAGGTAACAATTCTCTCCAGAGCTGGAAGGACGAAGGGGGAAAAAAAAAGGAGGGGAGGGGGTATATGATATTTCATTAGCTGTGCCTTATAGGGAAGAAAGGGAAAAGAGGGGTAAACGGAGCTGCACAGTAACAGCAGAAGACAAAGAACCAGAGCAGACAGCATCCCAACACAGAAAAAAAAGACTTTGAGACAGCTTTATGCACCTCTTCTGACATGCAGCAGAGAACAACTATGCAGCTGAGCTACTGTGCAGCTTGTGATCCCTGTGAAGCACAAAGTTACAGCAAGAATTCTACCTTAACTAAGTTTTCGTACATCACAAAACATTACATCATCAGAAACATTAAATAATGGTGCATTTGGAACAGGATTAAAGACAACTTAATCAGAAATGTCATCTAGCAATGCTGCCTATGCAAGTTTGCTTCTGCTGCTGCCACTAGCACTCGTAAAGTGACTTTGAATGGTGCTCCAGCCACTGCGCTGGTAAAGTAAGAATTCTGCTCAGTTGTTTTCAAATCGCAAATACTGCCGATGGTAACACACTGCATGTTTCTCTGCAGCCTTCTACAGATTACATCATAACTAGCTAGAAGATACGGAGCAATTAATTAGTCTATAATTGTCTTTCTTTTCCTGACAGCAGCAGGCACCATATGGCTGCGTTTAGGCATCTAGGTTGTTCTTCCTTTTCAGTCCCTGTGCCAATCCTCAGGCCTCGGACACACTGGGAGAGCTTGCAAGACCCCCACCTTTTCGCAGCAAAAGACTGCATTCCCACTTACACACATACTTCACATAAAGAACTTCTGCGACCTTTAGCCTAAGGCCAAGTCTAATAATGCTGGGTCAAGCCAGCTGGCAACTTCCTAGGCTTACATCTACAATACTGCTAAACCAGAAAGAAACATTGGTCGTTCAGACAGTATGAATGAGAGCAACAACAACAGTAAGTAGTGGAGCTAAGTGCAAACCTGTTTCATATTTTGCATGGCTTTTTTTTTTTTAAAACTAGATAAGTAAGATAAGCCAAGAAACTGGAACACTAAATATTACAGATGATTTACAAAGAAAGACAAGCTGCCTGCTTTTTAAAATCTTCCTGTGATTTGCATTTTTAGCAAAAAAATAAGATGATTGTATGTTTTAAAAGATATGTGGAGTGTCTCATTCTGTCTAAGCATTTCTGACTGTATGTCTGGATTCGGATAACTCCAAATCCATCTAATCTGCACCTTGCCTACAGCATGAATGTATCAATAGCCTTCCTACCATCAGGAGAAATTATTTTTCAGAATTATTTTTGAGTTGTAAGCCATTCTGACTAAACAGTGTTCAAGTCTTTTCCAAAATGTTATATGTTCTGTACTAATTAGAAGCTTGTCCATTACCCCGAAGATACGACACTTCAAATAAGTATAGCATTACTTCAGTTGCATCAAGTTAAACAATTTCTAAGCAATTGATTATTTTGCTTCATTTGAGAAATACCTATAGCTGCTCTGGCAGCAAACAACCAACCACACTGAAATTATATGCTGATGCCTGTTGTTCCAGCAGCACTATCTATTCACTCTCCTGTTTCTTAATTCACCAACAGGCTGCGTGTGCTAGTGGCTCTGTGGAGCTGGGACGCAGACAACAAACCAAAGCTCGCCTGAGCCAGCGAGCTGTTTCCCTGTGCGGGTACCGGCGTCAGCTGAACTAGCACTCACTGCAGAAGGAAAGAGTTTTAAGAAACTGCTACAACAGGCTTCCCTCTCTCAATTTACGGGTATTGCTTTGGGGGTTTTTTTGATCAGAAATTCATGGAAGCAGGGACCGTCCACTTTGTATTGGAGGTCTATGATGGGGGGAAGCGTTTCAGAGATTTCATTATCATACAAACCGTGCTCCTCTTTGTAAACGGGCACACGGTAAAAGTGAAAACAACTGAAAAGAGGATTCTCCCCCAAACGATTCCTCCTCTCCTTCCTCCTGCTAACATGACTGTCCAGAAGTAACCCTGTGCCCGTGTCCCACCGCCAACCACAAGCACTGGCCCAACGCAGGGCTGTGGGAAAGAGCTCACCTTCCCCACGCACAGCAGCCCGGCAGGGACTGATCGCAGAACCCGGACACTACAAATGAGCCTTTTTTGCGTCATTTGCGCGAGTGCCTTTCCCGGGGAAAAGGGGTATTTCAACACGCACACCGCTCACGAGGCAGCGGCGAGGGTGGCGAAGTGCTGGATTTTGGCAGTGACCTTCAGCTGACTGGGAACAGCGGGGCCCCCACCGCGGCCAGACGGGACCCCGCGGGCTCTGGATGCCCCCGCCCGGCTCCCCCCGGCCCTCGCCCCCCGCGACACCCGCCCGGCGGGCTCTGCTCAGGCGGGGCGCCCCCCACGCCCGCGGGCCGCCGGGAGCACCAGCCCCTTCTCCGCCAGCCCCAAACCCACTCCTTGCGCGGGCGGAAAGCTCCCAAAACAAACTCCGGCCATTTATGAGCAGCTCCGGCCTGCTGGGGCAGAGGCCTCGGACAGGCGGACCCTCACCCCCCTCCGCCAGGGCCGGGCTGGGCTGTCACACGGGTGTCAGGAAAATGTCGGAGGGTGCGGGCAGGACGCCCAGGCTGCCCCCAGGAGCGGACGCACACACGGGTCGCTCACTCCCGCTTCGAGGACCGACCCACCTCCGCTCCCCCCGCTCCTCCACGGGACTTTCCCCTCCGCGCACACAGTTTTGGGGGATGGGGGGCGCTCACACCCGGGGCTGAGGGGGAACTCGCGCCCCCCGCGCCCCTTCGCTCACCTCCCCGGGGCGCCCGGCGCCGCCGCTGCCCCTCTGGGGTGGGCACGGCGCGGCTCAGCGGCGGCGGCGGCCGCGGCGGCGCGGGCCGTTCTCCATCCTCCCCCTTGGCCGTCCCGGGCGCCGAGTGCGGGGCGCAGTCGGGACATTCGCTACATTGTTGGCATTCCATTCGCGCCACGTGACTCCGCGGCGCCCGCGTCATTCCACTCCCCTCCCGGCGCATTCCAGCGGGGGGAGGGGCTTCCAGGGCGGGAAGGGCTGTCGCACCCTAGGGGGACCGGGGCGGCGGGGGCCGCCTGCCCTCAGCCCGCTGGTCCTTTCGGGGCGCCCTTCTGTGGGTTTACAAGCAGTACAAAGTGACACTTTTTCCCCCTCACAAAACCCACTCCACTCACAGCAGCTCCCGGCTGGGTTCAGGCGGGAGAATGGGGTGGCTGAGGTGGTGAGGGAATGGCACTGCCTCCACTTGTTGAGATGAAAAGGGCTGAGGTAGAATCATAGAACCACAGGATGGTTTGGGTTCGAAGGCACCTTAAAGATCATCCAGTTCCAACACCCCTGCCGTGGGCAGGGACACCTTCCACTAGACCAGGTTCCTCCAAGCCCCATCCAACCTGGCCTTGGATATCTCAGGTATAAGGCATCCACAGCTCTCTGGGCAAGGAAGGTGGCTTGGAGGTGCCTGTCCACTCACCCCACACTCCAAACTCAATTAACATTTTTGTTTATTCCTACCGTTATTCCTTCCATGCTGGACTAACCATGCACAAAAAATGGCAGCACTACCAATGCCTACGTGGAGTTTCCTTTTGGTTTCTGGTTTGCTTGGGTGTTTTTAAGGGGGATTACTTGTTTTTCGTACTGTTTCACCATGGTAAGGAGACAAGGGGGCTATGAGGTACCAGAGAAGGGCAGACAGGCACTTCACATCTGGAACACAAGCTGCAAAAGATTTTTGGATGCAAAGTTCATGTTTGACCTAGTTATGGATGTAACTGCCTGGAAAAAGAATCATAGAATAACAAAGATTGGAAAAGACCTCTAAGATCATCAAGTCCAACCATTAACACAGCATTGCTGTGTTCACCACTAAACCATGTTCCCAGGTGCCACATCCACATGCCTTTTGACCACTTCCAGGGATGGTGACTCTACCACTTCCCTGGGCAGCCTGTTCCAATGCCTGACCACCCTTTCAGAAAAGTAATTTTCCCTAATATCCAATCTAAACCTCCCCTGGTGCTACCTGAGGCCATTTCCTCTTGTCCTGCTGCTTGTTCACTGGGGGAAGAGATCAACCCCCAGCTCACTACAACCTCTTTTCAGATTTTGTAGAGAGCGATAAGGTCCCCCATATGAGACTGTTTTTCATGAAAGCAGAAATATTATGGTCTTTAATAGAGACAATCCTCCATGAGAGATAATCCCCACATACCCAAATACAGTAATGTCTGGATCTGGGAGGCTGGCTCTGACCCCTCAGCATGACGGATACCCATGCTAGCCATTAGCAAGGGGTACTGATACAGAGTGAAAATAAGAAAGTATATGCATATATCTTTAGATCATTAACATGGAAGTAGCCTGCAGTCCTGAAATTCTTCAAAATTCTTAAAGTTCTGTTGCAAAGCTGAGAGGTGCTCATTATAGAGTCTCTCTGTTCAGCAGGGAAAATGTCAGTCTTGCAAGCACTTAAGACACATGTTTATCTTTAGTCATGTGACTAGTCCCAGTGTTTTCAACTGGACTGAGAGCACGTATGAAGAGAAGTCTGTGCATAACTGTCTTTCCAGGATGGTAACTATATTTACAGCCTTTTCCAAGCCATGGACACTATTTTTGTAAGTAATATTACTCATGGGCAGTCCTATCTAAGGATGTTTCTCTGAGATTGTTTATCATAAATTTTTTCCATGCCTTCCATGCAAAACTGTCAATAGTGCTTATAAATTAAAAGTGCTTATAAAAAAATAGTGCTTATAAAAGTTCTGGTTTGGGAGGAGAAATGACTGCCAATAGAGCGCTACATTTCATGAGAAAAATGCAGCCTGATGCAGAGAAATTGTTTAGCACCTCATCTGAAGGCAGTCAGTTACTGTATATAAATCACTGTCAGAATTTCAATAGTGTCATTGACTGGAATATATTGCAGGGTGGGGCGGGGGGAAAAGACTCTGACTTTGGAAAGCTATAGAAATCCATCAGGTTCAGACCAGATTCCAATGTCAGCAGTATATTGCAGGATAACATGGTTCATTTTACAATCTTCAAATACCTGCAAAACTGAAGTAAATTTTAGATGATATGACAGATGCAGCATGGTTTCATTTTCTGAATTACTGCTGTGCCTATCCGATGAAGCATAGCAACAAGATTGCCCAAACCAGAAATTGCTCAATGGTTTGAGACCTTTTCCCAACAAAGTTCAGGCTAGTTTAAAGAAACAGCATCAAGATAAAATTTGCTTACTCTGTGCTAATATGCTCTTTTGTAAGATTTGCTTGTCAACCACATTCTTAAATCTAGGTAAAACAGATCTTTTCAGTTATTTTTCTCCTTTGGAAAGGTTTGTTTTCCTTTTGCATTCCAATTGATCTGGGAATGAGACTCAGCTGCACTATTTCGCTTCCTGGTTCCATCCAGCTGCACTTTCTGAATTTCATGTGTTTGCACAGAGTTGCTGGGTTAGAATTCCCTCCAGCAGAGCAGCAAGAACAGGTGAGATGGGTTGCATCAGCTCTCTAGGAAGTGCCTGTATTCAGCTGGTCCGCTACAGATGAGGAGACTATTTCTGCTTTTAACCTTTAGAAACCCAAACTATAAGAAATCATGTTCCTCAAAAATACTAGGGAAATTGAAATCAGCTAGGTTGTAGCATGATACAACAACTGGGTTAAAACATTATTTGATTTTTGTAAGTTTTTTAGGAGATTACTGTGTCATCTCTTTGGAGATTACTGTCAAGTCTTTCTTCCCACCTATCTTCTTCCACTGTAAGGTATCTCCAGAAGGAAATACGCTAAATAAAAAGAGCAATACCATTTGTCTGTGTGAGCAGCAAATCTGTACACAGACTAGGCTATGAGGTAGTAATCTACCATGAGTGAGGGTCAGTGTGTTTATTCATGGCTCTGCTTCAGTAAATGACAGATGCTGGATCTGTGGCGACTACAGCACTCACCTTCTGACTTACCTGAGCAGCTGCCTGCCCTGTTGTGTGGGCACAGTGGGAGAGACCACAGCTCCACCATTTCACGTTCTTCCAGCCACCTGAAACAGCGAGGGATGTGGGAGATCTGTGCAGCTCCATCCCCTTGCATATAATGCTGTGAGTTGCCTCATTCCCTCCCTGTACTCATTTCACTGTTTCCCAGTACTCATTTCACTGCTGGGCCACAGTGTGACTCTTTCTAAACTATTGTATTTGGAAACAATTACCAAATCGTGCTGCTAAAAATACTCTTAGCAACCAAATAATTATGATTTGGGTGGGATGAACTTTTTCTTTACACAGTATTTGTAGCCAATAAAAGCTTGAACCCATTCAGAAAATGTGAAAAAGGAAGGTAAAGTAAGAATATCAGCAGCAATGTCTAGTTCTCTGCCAGTCTTCCTCAAAAAGAGCAAAACACACATGTGAAATGATTGTGAATATGTGAAGATATGTGTTTATTAGCATACAGGAACAAAGAATTTGCTGACAGTGATGTCCTTCACTAGGAAAACATGTTTAGAACAAACCAGTGTAACACAAAATGAATTATGTGCAAGGAAAAAAGACTTAGCAAAATCACTGAAATGTTCTTGTTTCAACATATTGATTTTCTTTGCAGAATGATACTGGGTAATCATTCTTCCCAAATCACCAATGCAAAACCAGTTTGAAACAGGAGTTATGAGTCCTCCAGCACAGTACAGACAACACAACCTATATGTGAAAATAATGTATATGTTTTACCATGATGCAAAATTGCATTTGTGGCAGTCAAAGTTATTCTCACTGCTTCAATAATTCAGTGGGTATATGGTTTAGATATGCTTTTTCTTTTCTTTTTTTTTTTTTTCCTCAGGAGTATGTCTATGGGATCTATCACAGCATTCTTTTGGGGTGGCAAAGGTGTAGTGAACATAAGAGCTAGTACTTCAGAAATTCATTTTATTTCAGCACAAAGGAGGTGAAATAGAACAAATCTGATAGGGAAGCTGCCTCAGCTTTGCAGAGAAACATGAACCCAGACTTTGGTTAACTGGGTAAGGTGTCCTGGATGCTCAGAGTGCCTTTATAGCCCTCACACAGAAGGTTCAAAACTGAATTTCACAAGGGCCCGCGTTCATATGTACTCTGCTTCCAGCCCCACACTTTGTATCAATCATTGACTGCAGCTGGAGCCCAGCAGCGCCCAAGAGGACTAGAGGAATGTCGGGACTTTGTGTGGAATTTCACCAGTGTGAGCCAGTTGTGCTCTTCGTTTGGAAATGAATAGCTGAAGTTTTCAAGTCCCTGCAATCAGCATAATGGCATCACTTTGTTCAGATGCAATGCAGATGGCTTTTGAATATCACAGCCAACCAATTCTGAAATTTTAGGAAAAGTTTTTAGGCAGTGTCCTTCTGATCCTCGAACAAAAGAGAAGGGGGTAATGCAGGACACGTGAAGCCCTGGCATCTGGTCTGGGCATCAAGCAACCATCAGTCTGACCTGTAATTATCTTTTCATCAATGACCTGGCACAGTAGCATCTCCCAGCATAACAATACCTCCACCACAGCTTTGTCTTTCTTGCCACAGATGCTCTGAATGATTCACCCTCTGGACAGAAAGAAATGGTGTGGGAGGAACACATGAACTTTCAAAGCCCTTGTCTTGGTGCAGAAAATGAGAGACTCTGGAACTGGTGAGGACAAGGGTAGTTTCCCAAAATGCCTGTGTGGGGAGAAAAAAAATGAGGGAGTTGTGAGGAACACCTACCTTGAGGGAACAAATGAGGCACTTTTCTTCTCTGGTACTCTGGAGCAGAAAATACAAAGGAATTCCCAGAGTGACTGGTATGAAGGTGAG